AACATTATGTTTTATATAAGTTATTTATTAATTTATTTCTTACAATTATGTTTTTCTCTTTTCTTTCATGTGAATAATGGTTATTGGTCATTATTGGGTAAATTGAGTTTGGGTTTAATTTTTGAGTTTGTGAAATGAGTCCAGATTGAACTGGGTATATTCTGGTTAACATGCACAAATAAGCTTGGTTAAATATATCTTTATATGATTTTTCAGGGTCATTTAAATGTTGATTTTTAAGTGTTGGATCATTCTATTTTCAATCTTGAAAATGTCTTTGCATGTACATATAAAACTTATGGACGAGTATATGAAAAGTGGTGCTATTTGAAGTTATGAGTATAACACATATCATGTTTGTCATAACTTGACCCTTCATGTCTTAAAAAACCAATATGAATGTGAAATGTAAATATTAATCACGACAATAAGGAAATCATCTGTCAAAATGAACTGTCATTCTCGAAGTTAGATTCTAAATTTCTCAACAGTTGACCCACTTATCTCGATAGTTTGTTCCAGAAGCTAAATTTTGTTAAGCTTCTCTTCTACGTGTGATTTTAAGGGTTGAAATGTATAACATATCATCTGAGCACCACTATTGTTTCATGAAATAAAAACATAATTGTAGGAATCCATCTGTAGAGATAAACTATCATTCTAGATGGAGAAGTCAACGACCCGAATGGTGCTTGCCTGGACTACCGGAGGGTCCATCGACTAGCTAGGTAAACGAGGGGATTTGTATGTGTTATCGCTTTAATTAAAAAGGAGACCCACCAAAGTACAAAAGGCAGGATCTTTCAGAAAATGGATTATTATTCGAAGAGTGCATAAGGCATTTGTTCCACTATTTGGAGTTATTAGTTTTATGATTTCAAACGTGGTTGTTTCGTACGTAGGTATTAACCTGACCAAAAGGTCCATTGACTAGTGGGGTAAAGGAGGTAACTGGTACGTATTACTACTTTCAGTTTTAAAAAATAATTGCTCAACTGTTTTGATTTCTTAACCTTGGCATTTGAAACTTGATTATTTTGTATGAAGGTATCGACCCGAAATGTACATGATCGGACAATCATGAAGTTCCCTATACTTGTGGTAGACGGTAAGTTTTGTAATGGGGTAGTTATACAATGTCAAATTCTTATGTTTTACGTTATATATGTTTAGTTGAAGACAAACGTATCATTTCGATGTTATACATTCTGTTATTTTCTTCCATTATTAAATTTTGGTAACTAATATGACGCAAACCACTTTTGCATAGGAATACACACTGATATACCATTGACATCAACTATACCCATTCAAAGTGACGATGACGTCAATGCAAATATGCAACGATCGACGTGTGTTCGAGTGCTTCCTGCATCAACTAGGACTCCATTCATGAGGGGGAGCAGATAGAAAGTCAACCAACATTGAATATAGCAACATATTAGATACATTGTAGAAATTAACTAGGGAAATAATCACATATTCTCAAGGATAACGTAACTGTTGTTTTAAGTAGTTAATGACATGGTAGTATTTTTGGATGTGTTTATTTCATAATGGAAACATATCGTGATAGTATTTTTGTGTAGCTTTTTCGCTTTAAAATGTTTTACTGCTTCTATTAATGATGAGCACAAATGTTTTAGTTTGTTATAACCGTCACTTAAAAGTTGTGTGCTTCTAGGTAAAATTTAATAGTAACATAGTTGAATTTGTTAATTTTGCAACTATTTATGCTTATGTGTCGACTATATTTATGGTCTCTAATTTCTGTCAGGGATTCATGTGATAATGTATGTACATAATTGTGTATATCCTAATATCCATTACATTGAAATTTTCAGTGTACTTTACTTATTTGCAATGAACTGTCGAAAATTATTTATACAATTTGTCATGATCGACAATTGAACTGTCGGAAAGTAATGAAATATGTTGACTAATAAACTATTATACTCGTATTAATACTTCTACACACTAATACCTACAATTAACTTTGTCCAATTAATTATTTGTTCATCAAGTGTGAACATGAAATAATGAGTTATCCAAATTCTCATCTAATGGTGTATCTCCAATATAAAAAAAAAATTAATATTTTTGGTGCATTTTCATTTAAGACACTCTGCATTTGATCAACCTCATATGCTGTGTTTACTGGATGTAGGGTGAATGTTATTATTTTCGTGATATGAGAATTTATCATTTTATCATTCATCGTTTTCTCTGTCGTCTATTTATATTGTACACATTTCAATGTTCCATAATAGTAAATGATATGTTCTTCCGGCAAGTGCTACATTTAAGATCAAAAAATACTCAGGATCATTGATTACCAACAACTACAAAAGAAAACTTTATGATAAAATGGTACTCATGATTTAAGATTGATATTCTGATGACAAAAGTGGGGAAGAAGGTTCAAATGTCGACAACGAATAAAGTGGACAGTAAATGTAGTTGTGCAATAAGTTATGTATAGTCTATCTTTTTTAGAGATGGATTTTGTAATGTCTTTACCAAAACTTCAGCATGAGCATGTCCTTTATGCATCTTGAATATAGTTTTTTTGTGTACTCTGGACCAAGTGTCGAGAATGACAAAAACAATATGTCGAGAATGGCAGATGAACTATCGAGCTGTCATGAATATGTTGTCTATGAATCCGTATTTTACTTGTGAAGTTGAACATGTATTTGCCTGTTTGCGAACGATATAAGAATGATAATGACAATGTAAGTTGCAAATAGTAATGTAAGTTGAGAATGTGCTGAGGAACAACATAAGTTGAAGTACCTTTATGCAAGATATGTACGCTCTATTGAAAATCAATAGGTTATAAGTATGATAAAAAGGAATAAAGATAACAAAAACGACAAATTGTTGATTTTTTTTTAAAAAAGTACATAAAGCACTCCAGCTCTAATATTGTAGTTAATAATTCAATCAATAGGTTTTAAGTATGATAAAAAGGAATAAAAATAACGAAAACGATAAATTGTTGATTTTTTTAAAAAAAGTACATTAAACACTCCAGCTCTAATATTGTAGTAAATAATTCAATCCAATTTTTTAATTTTTCTACTCCTTTTCTCCTTAGTAATACGATTTAACATTAGTGATGTTTATCATTTATACGTTAATTGAGTTCACTATTTACAACTTACGAGCAAGGTGTTTGGTGGGGATTAAAATTAGATTTTTTTTAGCGGATTGTGATAGCAATTTTTAAAATGGTGTGGTTGAATTGTTTTCAACTGTTGTAGAGTTCGATAATGATAACATAAGGAGCATTTAACGACTGCAAACGATAATATAACTTGATAATGTACAACGCATTATGAGAATATTGGATATACAACGTTAACAACGACATCGAGTGATTGTTTAAAAAACTTGTAATATATTGTGGGTTTGTTCTCCTACGCGACATGATAAATCTCAAGTGATGACTTATACCTAAAACGTTAGGATTGCAAATATGAGAATTTTGCACAATTCATGTGTCGACATTTAATACCATCAAATTGGAGTTTTCAAATATTTAGATCCATATAATAGCAGAAAGGAAAATAAAGGATTTCAACAGTTTTCAAGTGTCAAAATCAACAGTTAAATTGTATATCTCGACAATTAGTAATTGTCCAGTTCGACAGTTTAGATGTCTAATACGACGGTTTCGACGACACTACTCGACCGTTACACTGTCATAAATTTCGAGGAAACTTAAAAACCATGTATTTGGTTTTTTGGAAGAAATTATTGAAAACATTAATGGTGATAATTAATTCTTAACTATAACATCACAATATCTTCCCACAAATAAATAAGGAATAATTCAATGCTTTATTAAATATGAAATCCTTCACATTTTCTAGAGGATGTTATTATTTTTCCTTAGAAAAATACATCAAAAATAAAACACACCAATGAATAAGATATTTAAAAAGTTCAATTAAAAATGATCATATTGTATTAAACATTTAAAGTAGTAAACCATGAAATTAAAATATAAACAATTTCTTGTAGTTCATTTTTAAGATTGATCAATAGCTTTTCCTTATTGATGTTGGAATGAAGATTGTGAAGAAGAATGTAAGGTTTGTGTGGGTTTTTTTTCTTTTTTTTTTTACCCCCCATTTTTTTTTAAAAAAATTTATATTATGCAATATAATAATCATATCTTAAATGTTTAAAATATATCAAAAATAATCACATCATACCATTAATTGCATTTAAATCAAGTATTTATTGCTCTTTAAAAGGTAACACAAAGGGTAAAATGGACATTTTGTAGCAAAAATTGATATTTTAGAAAGAAATTGGTGCAAATGGAAATTGTTTGTACATTAACAATTTTAGTGACATTTATATAAATTCCCTAACCAAAAATTGACATGGGGTGCTATTTTCTCATTTTTTAATTACGTATTTTATTAAGAGGTTATTTGGTAATGATTTTAAGTCAATTAAAATTAAGTTTTTGACCGTTATTTTACTATTTTAGTTGTAAATTTTGAATTCTTTTCTCACAAGTTGGATTCAACGGTCAAAAAATCAATTATCAAAATTTTCATCAAACACCCTCTAACTTTTGGGGCCTGTTCGGTTGGAATTTTGAGAATTGATTTTTTGACCGTTAGGAAAAAAGTGGGGGTCATCTATGAGAGAAGAAGTCGAAAATTACGGCTGAAATAGTGAAATAACAATCAAAAAATCAATTTTTTGGGATGAAAAATCACTTCCAAACTAACTTATTATATTAAAAAATTGACTTTTAGACAGGGACTAAACGACAAAAAATAGCTCTCGTTTGATAATAATTTTTTATCCAAAAAAATTAATTTTTGAACTAGGACTGACGACAATGGTTCCATCAGGGGTATCAAGCTCGAAGCGGTTACTAAATCAAGGGCCACTAGTAGCCGTGTGATATTTCATTATTTCAGCCATTATTCTTGATTTCTTAACTCATAAATGTAATTCATTTCTATCTTTCTCTGATGATTCAAAAATCAATTCTGATTGTCACTGGCGAGACCCTAATAATCAAAACCGACCCTCTTGCCGAAGCACCAATTATTCTCTTCAAAGTTGAGCGTAAGAACAACTGCCTCGTCCCTATTCACTCTTTATTCCATATTCGTTTTAATTCTCGTGGTTAATTACGACACAGTCAATACACAGCCCTGCAAGTTCCCACAACCCCGCATACTTTCATTATGAATCAGATATTTAATGCTGGGTTTGTAACGGAGTATTTCATTCACAGATTCTGAGGATAATTTTTTTTTTAATTTTTAATTTATTTTTATTTTTGGCAAAACGCTAGTCTGCAAAGAGTCAAGTGAGTAATTTTGAGAAAATTTTGTGCGTGTGATCAAGAAATGGCAACAGCAGGATTGTACAGGCGTATCCTCCCTTCACCCCCTGCAATCGATTTGGCGTCTTCCGAAGGCAAGGTATGTCTCTGTGTTTTTTTATAATTTTTGTGATTAACTCAATTTTCATTGTGTTTTGGGATGAAATAAGCTCCTTTATGTTCATAGTTGATTTTTCATTTTTTCACACTCAAAGCTATTTTTACTCTAATTGTGATAAATATAATGAATTTTGGGGAGTGCTTGAGCTGTCTAACGAATATGTGGGCGTAGTATTGCATTGATAATTGTTACATTCTGAACCATTTTTGAGCCATTGGTCGAATTAGAAGTCCACATTATTGAATTTTAGGAACCTTTTGTTTTGTTTTTGTTTGTTTGTTTGTTTATTATTAATAATAATTAATTTTTTTTTTTAATTGTTGATCATAAGATCTAAATGATATGCATTTGGCTGTCTAAGTGCTTAAACTTTTAGATAAAATGGTTCATAGGACGCAAAGGTCGGGGTTCAAATCATAAACCCCATCAGGTGCTTGTTGAAGAATTTTTAAATGATATACATGTGACCTTTATGGCAACATAAGCTTTTAAATTGAGTGATTTAACATTAATTAACTTTTTTGGTTTCAGTTGTATTTTGTGTTTTCGTCACTCTCCATGTCTTGATAAGAAATTTACAATAATGCTTGAACTCTGCTCTCTGACCCTGCTGATGGATATATGAATACTGATATTCCGTTAAAGGGGTCGTTCTGAAAGGTTTAGAAATTTGACAGTCATGGAGAGCACACAAAAGCACCAGTACAATTTTTTTTACCTAACTGTACTCTTTACCTGTTCGATTGCCAGCCGACTAAATATTCACGTACTTCTTTTCCCTGAGTGTGTTGATATATTTTTTTGGATCTTCCTTTTCTATTTGTCTATCTCTTCACCATTTTTGGCGTGGTGCCCCTTGCTTGTCTTCATTTGAAGGAATAAATGCAGTCTGAATGCATTAAGAATATGCAGGAAGTAATGCAGAACCTGAAATCAAAGCTTTAGGAGGAGATTGTTAACGTTACTTGCATATACGAACCTTTATTCTGGTACAAACAAACTAAACATGGGAAAATAACTATCTGTGATATTCATTAGTTCAGCACAAAATATTTATGTTACATTGGCTGTATGATGGATGAAAAAAAACATTAACACCATGATAGAGATATAATGAAGTTTTACTAATTTGAAACAATTTGAATTGCAACTTGATCAGATGAGGATTGAAAAAATGATATTCTTTAGCGCTGGCAATTATATTGATATGAGTTGTGGCTTAGTCTAAATGGGCGTTGCATGAGAATAACCTATCCTTCCCACCTATTTAGTGATCTGGTTCGAATGATTAAATCTTAAATGGATCGAGTATACTCATCAACATGCATTAATATGTAACGAAATTCTGAAATTTTATATGTACATATTTCTATCACTAGCCTTGTTAATACTATAATCTCTCACTTCACCTTTTTTCGGCCTTCCTTACACTGTTACGATAATTGCACTTTCAAAAGGTAAACACTCAATTCTTAATATATACTTATCAACTGGCCAGTTGATGTAAAACAGAAATCACAAAATAGCTCCAAAAAAAATTGAAATCTTATAATCTTCTGCTAATATTCATTGATGTAACCTTTTAACCAATTTTAATTGCTATATTTATTGGAATTGAGTGCTGTGCGTCTTACAGTCATACAAAAGTACAATGATAGTTAGATATGTGTGTTGTCAAATCCTCTGGGTATTAGTTAAAAATTTATCTCGTCGTTGGACACGAATACAAGGATGAAGGAAGTTTCATGTATAATAATTGAATTAATAATAGGAAATCTCCAAATCCATCCAAGTATCAAAGGATAGTTCTTTTTAAGTACTGAATTATTTGGATCTCAATGTGTATCACGAATAGATTGCTCGTCTAATTTGGTGTTTCTAGAGTTTTTGGCACGTTGACTATTTTGTCCATCTAAGGTTGAAGTTCAAAGTCACTAAAAGGTAATAATATATTTAAGATTTATCCTCTAATTTTACTTTTGAATAAAAAGGCCGATGCGAGTGGCTGACAAGTCATTTAATGCTAAAATTATATAGTTTGTAATATGATATATTGTAATTAACTTTATTTGACTTTATTCTCTCTTTACTATTAATCCCCGTAACTAATATTAGATTCATACTTTTGTTTGACAAAGAAACAAGATGAGTTCTCAAGAGGCAAGAAAAAAGAATATTGTGCTTAGTTTACCATGGTTGTCTCCTTTCTAAGCATCCTAAATGTGGATGGCTTAGAACCACTAGAAGACATCAACCATTTGTCTATTCTGTAGTATTTAGCCCTTTGTGTTGTCTTCCACTGCAGAAACTATTCACAGAGGCCATCCACAATGGAACTATGGAAGTCTTTTTCAAGTTGATATCTTATTTTCAGACACAATCTGAACCTGCATACTGTGGTTTGGCTAGTCTGTCAATGGTCTTGAATGCCCTTTCTATTGATCCGGGTCGAAAATGGAAAGGTAACTTATTATTGTGAATAATGCTATTTGTACATCACCATTTACAATTTCCTTTACAGATTGGTAAGGTGGCAAAAAGAAGGGGGGGGGGGGGTTATTTTTTTAGTTGATGATGAAACTTTGAGTCAATTATATCTTGTCACATCATCTGATAGTAAACAAATTTGTGATGTGCATGTAGCATTATTGTATTATTCTTCATTGTAGTGAGGTATGTGCTATGCTGTTTCAATTAGTGATTCAATTTTCTTTTTTTGTTTCATGTGAGACATTTCAAATATCAAAGCGTACACATGCTGAACATTCCCTTCTATTACTATTGCTTAAAGAGTTGTCTTGGTTATTTATCACATTGATGCTCTTCAGATGTCTCTTTAATGTACTTCATCACTGTTTTAAATTGTTTCTATTTTGTTAGTTAGGGCATATCAAAATGTTATGCTTGTATCAGAATTGCATGACTCTGAGGGATTATTTTAAGTCAGTTGAGGATGATGACATGGCAAGCTAGAGAATAAATCAAATCTTACAAACTAAATAACTTCATTCCACTAACAACGTCATAGGAAAGTTAATGCAACATGCGCGCGTCAAATGACTGCTGAAGAAAAAATCAACTTCCAGATCTTTTGTTTTCCCCACTACAAGACTTTTTTGAATACCTCCTACCTTGAACATTAATGCCATGTTTCATCTTGTCTTTTTGAACCTACACTGGCAATGGAGTAAGTGCCCTAATGTAGTGTATCCGTGCTTCTTTTTGCTAGATCATTTTGACAGAATTTTGGAAGCTCTTGATGATTAGAACTTCATCCATTTCTCAGGCATTTCTGTTTATTGCATGTTTGGACACCTAATTATCATAGTTATTGTAGATAAAATATTTTTGGAAGACTATTCTTGCTGGTGGTAATCCACTGAATTAAAATGTCTTATTTTATATTAATATAGTTACCAAATATTTTATTGTCTGTGAGGTGTCACCTGCTGATAATGCTGATGAATTTCCAATTCTTATTTTATGTGATCTTAACAAAATTTGTTTGCTTCCACCAATAACTAAGTTGTATCATTTGTCTTTACTAAGTAGAAGAATGCAAAAGTCGAACTTTCTAGGACTTGGTTGGAAAGTTGGTATGCACCACTTACCATGAGAAAGAAGTACTTGCATATTGAAGGCTTCCTTAATTGTTGGGAACCATTTTCAATGTTTCGAAGTTTGAACTTTGCAACTTCCTTACATTTTTCTGTCCGTAAATGTAGGTGTCATGAGCTTATTGATATCCAATCATAGTGATGGTTATAGAAGTGAAGTCTGGAACTTTGTCCATATTGTATTTCCTTCTAACGAACCACTACCTTGTTTTAAATTTTTTCTCACTAAATTTTGTGACATTAGCTTATCAAACTCCATTTCTAAATTTATACAATCTTATGACCACCTACTTTATCTTGTATCACTTTGGTAAAGGGGAAGTGCAAAAGTAAAACTTTTTATGACTTGGCTTAAATTATGGGACACTTACCTGAAAAAGCATGGCATGGAAGGTGGAAGTGAGAAGGCCTTTTGTATATGGGAGGCATCTGTAATCATGGAGGACATTTTATAGAAATTTCAACTTGAACTTTGTTTTACCATTCTCTTTTAGAGACAGCTTAATTTTTTAGACGTTTCATCACTATGTTGATGAATCATGAACTTATAGAAGTCCAACTCAGGGCCTTGGAGATGGTTTGACGAATCTATGCTGGACTGCTGCGAGCCTTTGGAAAAGGTTAAAGATAAAGGCATCTCGTTTGGGAAGGTGGTATGTTTGGCTCATTGTGCTGGAGCCAATGTTGAAGCTTTTCGTGCAAACCAGAGCACTATTGATGAATTTCGTAGATATGTAATGTCGTGTTCAACTTCAGATGATTGTCATGTGATCTCATCATATCATAGAGGAGCTTTTAATCAGGTTAAATACGTAACTTCTGGTTTGCTCATTTAATTTCTTTCATCTTCGACCTTTTTGCCTTTTTCTAAGTTTTGCAAATGGACCTTGATCTTTTGGAAGATCTATTTTTTGTTATATGAGCTACTCACGGTTCTATTCTTATTGTGACTATCACCTACTATGTTACTAAGTGCTAACTCTAATGAAATATTCTCTGCTGACTTCAGTAATGATGTTTCTATTCTTTCTTTTGAGAGAAGAAAAAAGAGAGAAATGAAATAAATTTGTTGTGCAGTTAGACAGCATATATTGCTATTCAAAAAATTTGCTAGGTTCTATGTTGTGCTCACAGGTTACTTCTCTCAAGCCTGAACCATGTGCTGGCAGCTAGTCAGCCATTAAGTTCCTCAATTAATTAAAAAGATAGTAATGCCTTATGAGCTGCAGCTATGCTGCTAAAAAAAAATTACTTGTGTTGGCTATAACTTCTTCAAAAGCTGCGTTTGCCGGTTAGTCAGAGGCTCAGAGCTGTTACGTGTAGGGGTGGGCATGGGTTGGGTCGGGTCGCGTTGGGTCGGGTCAATTTTTTTCTAACCCAAACCCAACCCAACATGGTCGATTTGATCTAAAATCAAACCAACCCAACCCAATTAATGATTTAAACCCAAGCCAACCTAACTCGATCATGGTTGGGTTGGTCAGTTTGGGCTTCGGCCCAATTAAAGTTGGATTCAATTATTTTTTTGTTGAATTTAGATAAACTTTTAAAGTTTGAAATTACTTGAAAACCTTTATTTTTTTAGTAGCTATATGAGGAATTCCTTCTAAAAAATAATGTATAAATAAGTTTAAAATTTATGAAGCATTTTCTTTTTTACAATTTTTTTGGGGTTTATTTATTTCATCATCATGTTCTTAATTTTTACTTTATTATCAAATAACATTTCATTTGTACAAAGGGTTCATGTGAGTCAATCTATGTAAATAAAATGGATGTTTATAAATTATAAGTCCTCATATCTTTACTATTGTGTTTATTTAGAGACTTTTTCCCATCTTAGATATTAATTTTTTTAATTCATTGGGTTGGATTGAGTTGGGTTTTAAATCATAATCCGAGACCTAACCCAACCCAATCTCAAATTTAATTTTTTAACTCAACCCAATTGAACTTAAAAAACCAAGCGATTTGGGTTGGGTTTTGCCCAGCCCTAGTTACGGGATATTGTTGTTCACTTCAAATTTTCATCTATCAAGTTTGATGCCCTTGGCCTTTTGACTCGAGTGCCTCTGAAACATTTTACTTAAAATGTAAAAATATTTAAAAAGAGGAAGACACGAATTATCATATAACTTTGTAAATTTATGGACTTCAAAAATTTTAGTAATCTCTGAAAATAAAAACTTAAAATTTTTTCATCTCTTTTTTTCTGAAAAAAAGTTCGATAGTTTTCTCTCATTTTCCACTTGCTAGCCATGCCTTGTTTCATTAACCACAAACCACTAATTTCTTGTTAGGGAATGAGAAGAGAGACATAAATCTCAATAAACTCACAAGCGAAGTAAATTCTGTTGGATTTTATGCGCAATATTAAAGAGATGAAAACGAAAATCAACACAAGAATTTTACGTGGTTCGGCGGTGTGCCTACGTCCACGAGAGCGAAGCGGAGATTTCTTTATTCAGTTGTGTAAAATAGGGTTACAACATATTATTTATACTAACCCTAGCCTAGGCTCATATAAGACTTTAAGGCCCGTACAGAAAAATACCCCTGTACCATACCGTGGGGGCGTTGACCCCGCACCCCCAACCCATTCAGCGTCCCTAACAATCCTACAGTGAATTAAACCTGCGCAAAGCTGATGTTGTTGCTCCGCTTCACTCCATTCTATTCAATGCGCTCCGCTCCTCTCATTCCACTCCGCTCCTCGCCCCCATCAGCCCATTTGATCTAGAGCCTGTATTCCACTCTATATGAGCTACATGCACAACAAATTCTGATGAGGGCATCACCTGTTGGACCATCTTATTTTGCTTTGGACTAATTAACTTTTGCTTTATTAGTTGGGTTTGTATTAGGGCCTGCCCAAGCCCCATAACTATTAGGTTTATTTTTATTATTTATATGTTTGTATTGAACTTCCAAGGGGACAATGAATTGATGAAGATGAATGAAATGTTTGGTTAAGTTTTCCCCTCCCCAACTTTTTCCTCTGATTCTCTTCTTCTCTGGTCTTCTCCCCTGTTCTCTTTAGTTCTCCCCTTTCTTGTTGTCTATTTCTTCTTAGTCTTCTGCTTTTTTTCTGCTGGTCATTGCTTAACTGTTGAAATCCCCTTTGATTCTACATCAACTTGGTATCAGAGCCAAACTTGGCTTCCTTCACCCATTGCTCAAAACCAGTCGATTTACTCTTCCGTCATCATCGCTGCCACCATAATTGGGAAACAGGCCCAACCCCCACCATAACCGCTACTGCAACTCTCGCCATCACACCCACAGGCCCCGCAACTTCCCAGCATCTTCACCATTACGTACACACAAAAATCGCCACCAGCTTGCCACTAACCAATCCATCAGCATCTCAGCAACTCCAAACCCAAAACGTGTACCTAGCAGTAACCGTCCCTCTCAACTGCCAACAACTACCAATCTTCCCATAACTTACATCAACAGCCCATTAAACCCATAAGAAAACACCACCACCCCCACAAGCCAAACCTCCAACCAATAGTAACCGCTGGCCACTTCACAGTTGACAAGTCCGCCAAATTCAACCACCCAAACGGTGACCCAGAAAATTTCAACCAAATCACAGGCGCTGATTTTCCTACTTGCTGTCGTCACTTCCTCCACAGCTACATACATAACCAGAGAGAGGAAGAGATTTTGTGGAGAGAGCTTTACTTTCGCTTGAACCACCCAGCGACTGCTGTGCCCTTCGATTGTCGCCTCTATTCGTGGCACCCAACCACCGGTCATACTCGCAGTCGATGCCGTCATAACCGTAGACTACCACCCGTCCATTCACAAACTATCTTGAAATCCAATTCACCGACAGCTGCCATGCCCAGCTTATCGCCACTCATTTCTTCATCTCCAGCCACCGACCTCGCCAACCAAGCAGTTACCTCCCCTCGTCGGCAAGCAGAACCATCGTCGATCAACAGCCCAGACACGATCGAGTTCATGAGTTGAACCTCCGTTTTCATTCTTCTTAATTTTGCCCTCGTGTAATTTAGGTCAATTATGTCCTTTTGTTAGTTTATATATAGTTGAGTTTGCTTAGTTGTTAAAAAAAAAAAAAAAAAAAAAAAAGGAGAAAAAAAAAAAAAAGGAAAAAAGGGGGGGGGGGGAGGAAAAAAAAAAAACAAGGAAAATGACTCATGTGTGATTATTTTTAAAAAAAAAAAAAAAAAAAAAAAAGGAGACAGAAAAGAGAAAGGAAAAAAGGGGGGAGAGAGAGAGAGAAAAAGAAGAAGAAGAGAAATTCCCATCGTTATTTATAGGCGATCTTTTAATTATGTTGATTGATAGATTTGCCACAATAGCCCATGCCAATTTGAAATTTGCGATTGAAGCATTGTTTGATTCTTGCAAGTCCCTTGAGGTAACAATTTTATTATATTGAATATATGCTTTTATTTTAGTGTCTTGGCTTGTCAATTAAAAAAAAATGTTATGGACGTGAATATCAAACGTTAGGAGTCCACTTGTTAACAAATGGACGAAAACTTCTTCAGTTTTCATTGCCTTCTAATGAACTCCTATCGTTACTTGCACACTCTGAGTATTTGCTTTCACGAGTGGACCAATTGCCTTCTATTTCCATGCTTACATCTATTAATACACTTAGCATGGCATTGGTTTCGAATAAGCTATTAAGATATCTTGAAGTTGCTATACAAGTAGCAATTGTTTTTTGTCTTGATAAAATATTCCGCATTACGGCACCCGATCCCCCCTTTTGTGATGAAATAATGCAAGATATTTTTCCCTTGATTATATTATCATTTTCATATCTCACGAGCACATCCATCAATTTGTATTCTACAGCAGTTAGGATACTAGATACCATGGCTAGTGCAAAATACTGCCTTATCATGTTGGATCTAGATTGTGAACGTACGATTATTGACATGTTCCAACACTTTCTCGTGGCTCTAAAAGGAAATCATTTAGCGAATGTCTTCACATCCATAGAGACTATCATGACCTTTACATTGGACTTGATTACACTTCTGTTGGATAGTGTTTAAAAGAAATGCAAAGAGGTTTCTCCTATTGCATTTAGTGTGGTGGGAAGACTTATTGAGAAGTGTGCTGACAAGATCAAACCTTTTTACGAGCTATAAAATCTCTAGGGGCTTGTTTAGATGATTATAGTACAATTCTTTCCTCCGTATTCACAGAAGTCAAGACTTGTGACAATGTATTGTGTCCCCTATTTTGACCACATCTATAGTCGATACACTTAACAGTGACATAATTGAGAAAGTACCTAAATTAATGCCATCGAAGTCAAAGATTTCAGATGTCTTAGATCTGGTGCCTACTATGTTGAATGACTTTCATGTTGCCTTTGTTTTAGTTCTTCCTCAATTACATGAGATTCCACGGGTTGCCACATTGTTCTCTAAGGTCCTCACTCGATTGCACACTCTTCCTATTGACAATAGGATGTTGCCCACTAATTATCGACACACTACACTAGCTCTTCATTATTTGGACAGTATTCCTAAATTTCATGTCAAGTTAAAATGTCAAATCATTTCCAATCATGAAATTTTCGAATTTACTTTCGGTGTGCTATATAAATTAGAGTATTTGTAAAAAGGTTTTCTATTTGATTGGCCATCACACTTAAATGAAAGTCATATTTTCAATATAGAAGAATTGTTTCCTAATCAAGGCATATTCGAGCCTTCGATGTTGCAATCTTTTCTCTCTACATGCTAATATCAAATGCTAGCTTCTTGTGCTCCTCACTATGTACAACCACATGAAGTTTTTAGAAATGAGTTGCATGAATGTTTGTTACTTGGAGACCAATTTTGTAACTTGATTAAAAGGAGATATTGTCCTCCTTGGTCGGCTTATATCCTTGAGGATAAGTTGCTTCTTTCATTTTTATCAACTGTTGAGTTTCGACATTTGGTTCTTCAGAAAGATCGTCCATCATGGTATGAGTTCAGACACTAACTTGGAGATGAACGATAGCTCTTTTGTGATTTATTCACATTTGACCACATTTTATATTATTTCTTCTATAATTCTCTTTAGCTGCCTGAAACACTGTTCACATCATGGACAAAACTAAATTTCCAGATTTTACATTTTATCTTCCAAAAATTTGAAACATTTTCATTTTAGTGTCTGAACTTTAATTTTTTTCTGCAAGGCAAATAAAAAATTACGGCTAGTAATGGGTGTTCGAGTGTTATATCAAGTCTAGTTATTGTTGCTTTTCATGTTCTTGGATTTTATTTCGTATATATCGATGCTATTCTATTTATTACCCTTGACTTTGATTTTGATTGTGATTTCTTTATATTTCCTTGAAAGATATTGACATAGAACATTGCTTCACTAGTTTACTTCTGAATACTCTTTGGATGCAATAACTCTTAAATGGATATGCATCTCTTCTTTATTCACCGCGTAATCGCAATATTTAGATCTTCGTGTGCATATATTGAGCCCGTCTCAATAGTGCTTAATAATGTCAAGCGCATCTGATTCTCCTCAGTGTCCTTTTGGTAATTCAGATGTATGCTGTTTTGTTTCTCTTTATGTTACTATCATCTTAATTGACTATTTCTGTTGATTATGCTTTGGAGAATTACCTTCTAGTTTGGGTAGGTTTTATAGCTCTTTGCCTTGTCGTAATAAATTGACGAATGTGTATATTGCAGACTGGAACTGGTCACTTTTCACCTATTGGTGGATATCATGCTGGGAAGGATATGGCTCTTATTCTAGATGTTGCAAGGTTTAAATATCCTCCACATTGGGTTCCACTAACTCTTCTCTGGAAAGCCATGAGTACTATTGATGAAGCAACTGGACTACATAGAGGGTATGTGTAAATGCAGATCCGAATTCTCTTTTCTGAGATATTATATTGTTTGCCTTGTACAGAGGTATCTGATGATAACTTACTGGAACTTACTATCTGTTTAGTAACTTTACACCATAAAAATTGATGGAGATAGAAATACAAGATTCTGAACCAGATAGCAGAATCATACCTAACCATTCTTATTTTAGAAATTATGTTATAATGGAGGAACTTTTCTGACTTTTTAAAATGCCATCATATTCATTCATAAATCAATCAGTATTGAAAAGGGTAAATTGGGTATCAAGGTGTTTTGCTTTCAATATGAGGTGGAAACCTTGGGGCATTTTGAAGCATAAGGTTCAACATAAACCATTAAAACAATTTAAATATTATAAAAAGACCAAACTTGCTATAAACCATAAATTCGAAGAAGTACATATGAAACATTTCGAAGTTGAATTTGTAACTATAAACATAAAATAGATCAGAGTGTAGCTAACAATATATGAACTATGTAGTAATCACATAACACGACCATATCTGCAAGTGAACTAAAATTCAAAAACAAATGAAACAAATGACTGACTAAGAAATTTTTTTGCTCTAACTTTATAAGAGCAAAACCCTCAGGAATCACAACAAAAAAAGAAAGACACCATCAACAAAAATATGAATGAAAAAATTAAGCCTCACTCCAAAGGAAAATATAAATAAAGAGAAGCGAAGTTGTCAATCTCTTGTAGAAGTATAGTGCTTGGGCCATGCTCTTCACTTGTTCTCTTCTCTAATTAGTATCTTCCGTTTTTTTATTTTTATTTTTTTTATTTCTAGAGTTGGGCTGTATTTGCAAACCAGTCAAAAGCTCTTAAAAGTTTTTGGGTTATGAAACATTCAGCCTAGAGCTGATTCTGGTAAAGACAATTGATGAGGTTAAAACTATGAGAGCATGCCTCAGCCACCTTGATGCTTATGCCCTGAGGTTTGCACCTTAAGAAGTCATGGTGGGAGCGTTGACAGAGAGCGCTCAAAGGTCAAAGTGGAAGTGACTGGATAAGATTTGAATTCACCTTCAATTATTATGCATCCTAGTTATCACATTCTTTATTCTCATAAGTAATGCATTTTTGCTGTATCCTTGGATTTTGACATTGTCATTATTACTTGATTTATATGAGTAATCTGCAATTTACAGGTGTATTTGACATGGCAAACATTTCTATTCACATAGTTGAAACTTTTTCCATTTTACATTTACCTTGATTATTTACAGGTTCATGCTCGTATCTAGGCGTCAGAGAGCATCATCTTTGCTTTATACCCTGGTATGATCCTAATAGCCAGTATTACATTACTAACCTTTGTAAGCAAAACTACATTTAATGGTCACATAGTTCCATCGATATATTTACAATATTTTTGCAGAATAGATTCTTTGTTACTTAAAATTAGAACTGAATTAACTCTTTCAACTTTTTATCCTTCCTTTTCACATCACATATTGATTAGATGTTCTTACTTGATATTGAACTATGAATCATGGGCACCACCATCGGAAATATAATATTAGATGGGGCAGGTACTCATGGAATTATTTATTTATTTATTTTTTTTAAACAGTTCACATTAAAGATGCATATTATCAGAAATTGTTCTATTTAATGAAATTGAGAAACTTAAGCTGCAGGACTTCAAACATAAATGAAAACTTTCCGACCTAGCATTTATATTTTGTGTAGACATTTTATTTGAATCTCTTTACTTGTGCACATAGGTGGTAGGTTTACTTGTGCACATAGGTGGTAGGTTTTATCCTCATGGCTCAAATTTATTTTTTTATTTTTTATTTTTTCCCCCTGGTGTAGCTTCTTTATTTCATGGTTTGATACTTTTGGCAGAGCTGCAAACATGAGAGTTGGGTTAGCACTGCGAAGTACTTGATGGATGATCTTCCAGTGCTGTTAAGTTCAAACAATGTGAAGGATGTAAATTATGTCATCTCTACTGTTTTCAAGTCTCTCCCATCAGATTTTACAGAGTTCATTAAGTGGGTGGCGGAGGTTCGCAGACAAGAGGAAGGTGGTCAAGGTGTAAGCCAAGAAGAGAAAGAAAGGGTGGCTATCAAGGTGAAAACAAGTAAACATAGTGATTTGAGAAGAAAAATGGCTTCTGGTTCATAATTTTCATATAAAAACGCAGGATGTTAAAATTTCTCTGAGTTCACTGTGGCTGTTCAATTTTTCAGGAGGAGGTGTTGAAACAAGTACTAGAGACTGGACTTTACAAGCATGTAACGGATATTTTATCTTCAAAAAAATCTTCCTGCCAAATCAAACAGACTATTGGTCTCAGAGATAGTTTGCCTAACATTGCAGCAAGTGTTTGCTGTCAAGGGGCTGGGTTTTTGACTGGAAAATCGGGATTGACAGATAGGTTTTGCTGTCGGGAGACAGGTGTGAGATGCTACATGGCTAATGGCGACAAGCCTGTTACAGTGGTGTCTGGGACTGTGGTCAACGGCAATGGAGAGCAAGGAGTTGATATGCTTGTTCCTTTATCTCAAAAAGAGCCTAGCTGCTGCAGTGTTGACTCCTGTGGTTACTCTGGATTGCACCCTGAAAGCAATGATATTTTGACAGCACTTTTGCTGGCATTGCCACCACAAACATGGATGGGTATCAAAGACTACCAGGTTTTGCAGGATATGTCTGGCTTAGTTTCCACTGAGAGGCTTCCTCCTTTACTTCAAGAAGAGGTACCGATATCACTTATATTTTCTCAAATGAACCACATTCCTAACTTTTCTAAACCTTTGTATTGTTCCAGATTGAGGGTTTTATCTGTTTATTTGAGAAAAATCTGAAGTGTTGGTTATGTTGTTCCACTTATTTCTTGAACTCCTCATTAACCATTTAAAATAAGATAGCTTTGAAACATTAAACCATATATCCAATAAATTTGGTGTGTGTGCATAAACTTTACCCTCATTCCTCATTATGAGAAAGGAAAACAAAAATTTTTCCTTGTTTGAGTGTTGCAATGTGTGGTTGTTCTAAGATGGATAAGATAAAAATTGAGAATATTCATATAGATTGGAGGTGACAGCGATTGAGGATAATTAAAGTTTTACAACTTTATTGGGCTATATTCATTTGGATATCTTCGTGGTCAAATAGAAACCTTCCCAACTGTTTAGCTGCAATATTCATTTTCATTTATGCTTTTAACATTGTATGTTAAGGACACATAAGTTAAGTTCTACTGTTTGTTGAAAAATTATAGATACTCACTTCGTGTTATTCACTTGATCGATCATTCTTATCGTACTTTCATATCTATTCATAATGTGAAACTGGAATTTGTGGTCTTTTCTAGTTAATTATAGAGTATGAACCCCCCCCCCCCCCCCCCCCCCAAAAAAAAAAAAATAAATAAATAAATAAAAACTTGACTGCTTTCTTTCTGAGATTAATTTCTAGACATTTTTGAGTAACATCTATGCTTTATTCATTTCTCTACCTGAATCATTCTTTGTTTTTCCACTATCCATATCTAGATTCACTAGGATATCTAAAGTAACTAGATTCTTTACAAATGCAACGTGGCACATTATTTTTTTAATTTTTAATTTTTATTTTTTGATGCCTTCCTCTTCTAATTGCTCTTTTGAAATCACGTCAGTATGCGGAAGGGGCCAAACATAACCCAAAATACCTAAGTTTTCGTTCTTTTATTTTCCTCAATTGTCACCACCTCCACTTGTTCAGTTATATTTCCATTACTTGTCTTATCTATTTCGGTGTGTCCATACATCCATCTTAGCATCCTCTTTTCCGCTACATTCATCTTATGGACATCTGACTTTTAATAACCCACACTTGGAACCATAAATATAGACAGTTGAATTATTTCGTGTAGGACTAGCCTTTTAACCTTATTGGAATCTTCTTATCACAGAGAATTTTTGTAGTGATTCTTCATTTCTTCCACCTCTCACTAAATCCTATGCATTACATCCACTTCTGTCCATCTATCCGTCGTTAATATTCGAAGGTGGATACATGAAACAATGAACAACATGATCTTCTATTAGTTCCGTTATTATCCTTAATATCTGCACTACTAAATATGCATTTTCAGGCGAATCCTGGATCTCCAACTTTTTCATGTTAATTTGTCCTAAAGTTTAGTTGTGAATGATCTTGAACCATCAATTCTCATTACAAATGGAAAGAAGGGTAAAACTCTTATTGGATAACTGAATGAGATGAAATGCTTGATGAGTTCTATATTTACCATCTTTGGTTCTCTAGGTTCACCTTGGACTTTCATATCGCCATTTTTCATCATCTAACTTCTGCTTTGCAAGTGATATTCATTTTTCTTGTTGATATGGCAGATTTTGCACTTGCGGAGTCAGCTACTTATTCTCAAGAGATGCAACGATAACAAGGTAGAGGAAGATCTGGGTCCACCCCCAGTTTAAGTATCTTTTATTCTCCAGTCGTTAAGATGTGAGAAATGAATATCCATATCCTTTTACAAGTCCAAAAAAAAAGTCCTCATATAAGTACTAACATTTTTAGGAGATCACCGCAGAAAAATTGTTATCGCCTTTTATAGGTTTGAGACAATCAGCAATATGTGCTTCCCAGGGTGTCAATGCTTTAAGCGGCAAAGTAACAGTTCTCCAGCGATTCAAATTCTCTTTGAATCAAAATTCTTCCATGAAAATTTTCAGCCATGGTGTCTCCTTCCGAGGTAACAGCAGACCTGGAAAGGAATATTCAGTGCCATCTAGATTACCCGGTGGAAACGTATCTATGATTGCATGTCCCAAATTTGCATTATACATGTCTCAGTCTAATAATTGCTCAAGACATCCAAATTTTCTTCTTTAGTGGTGTTTCATAATAGTCCTGTACTTCTAGAATTCGATGAGGGATGGCATAGACAAAAGTGTTGAAGAGATCCTTAGTAGATTATAACAATCTTGCCTCCTCCACTCCCCTCCCCACTTTTGGAATTCGATGAGCGATGGTAGCTAATGAGTTGCTTATTCTCCCTTCATTACACTCACCAGGGAATTAAATATACTGTGTATATAATTATTATATATTTTACTTGGGCTGTTAATCTCAGTACCAACAAAGAGAAAAAGTTATATTCTGTTCATTATAATCTCCGGTTATTCTGTTCATACTGGTTATATAGTTATACTGAAGTTGACATATTGATAACGATTTCAGCTCAGCTTCCAATGTTAGCTAACAATGTTGAGAGGCTTCACCTTCACATTGGGGCCTCGCCAGAATAACTGCTCTTTTCTAGTGCACAGTAACTGCACTTCAGGAAAATAGACTTCATTTCGGTAATTGTTGCCTTTGCACACATGCCTTGTCGACAATCAAAGTCCATTTTATATATGAATATTCATGTTTGGACACGGGAATTATTTTGTTGCTACTCTTCGCCAACTGGGCAACTATTCACTTCGCCTTAGCGTTGCCTCGGAATGAGTACCACCAGAAGACTTCGCTACTACGTCACTCACACCAAACTACATACCGTAGCATCGTCACTTCTCGAATCATGACTATAAGATATTGGACGTCACTCATTACATAACCTCGGTCATATTAAGTTTAGAGGCAGCTCGTAAGCTCTTTGTTCATATGTATGATTCATCACTTCATACTCTTACCAAAAGTTCACGCTTTATATGAATATTCATGTCTGGGTTTGGGAAATTAATTTTACTCATTCTATGAGACAGGTCACATGGTAGCCAATTAAGAAACAACAAGAAGTCATTGAAAGCTCGCACTGACATCATTTTGCATACCTGGCCTATCTGGGGCAATCAATGTAAGGGGCCAAATTGAATTCACCTCAGTCAAAGCGACATTAAGCCCAACCTTCGTTTTTGACGCATGGTGCCATGAGTTGTCGCAGTAAAATTTCAAAGCTATAAGCCTCCATTTTACGGGTCATCTTCATTAACATTGCTATGACCTAAAGATCTTCCATAAGAGGATCTTCAGTATGTCTTATATTTCACATTTTTGCAGCGGGTGTCTTTTTGTCAACTTTTCAGATGGCAAGCCCTAGGCATATGTGGCAACTTTTCACTTCATATTGGGCCATCTCAAACCTAGGATAGTTGAGGATTGACAACTGTTGTGGTTGACCCGTGAATTGTTATGATGAGGTCACGTCATACAATCAATGGGTATCACCTCTTTCCTCCTATTATAATTTTCCATTTTCCACCTTTTGGGATTGTTTGATGGCAAAAATTTTCCTGGCAACTTGCACAAAACTAAAGAGTAAATTCCCTCCTCTCATCATCTTAGTATTGAAATTAGGGTTTGTTTGATTTGTTTCATTTTTCATGGATTTTCCATTTCCACCTTTTGTCATTGTTTGATTGCAAAAATTTTCCGACAATTCGTTTCCTCCCCTCCCTCACGTGATGGATTTTCCTTGGTTTTGTGAAACCCCCTTTTTATTATTATTATTTTTTGGTGGCAATTGTAACAAATTCTATCCACAATTGTAACAAATTTTATTCCTTTAATTGACAATTTTCATAGAAAACAAAGCAAAAGAAACACCAAAAGATGAAAAATTTTAATATTTTTCAGGTGAAAAATTATATCAATCAAACATATTTAATTGACAATTTCCAGTAAAACAAGTTTTAGGCAATTCAATTTCCTGAAATTTTTTTTCCACCCAAATTTCATCCTTACAATTAATCAGGCCCTTAGTGTCTTCAAAGAGTTATGGAATTCCTACACGTCAACAGTAAAGTTTTCTTGGTATTTTCTCTACAACCCAAGTCCCTATATTCTTGCTCTCATCCATTGTCCATCCCACACTCAAATTATACTTTCATTCATTAATTGACTTGAGCATTGGTATGTCCGAGGCTACCTCCCACATCTTCGAAGATCATGTGAACCTAACATTGGTTCAAATGTTCAGGAACTTGACAAGTAGAAGGAAGTGGAGTTAGAGTCAATTGACCACGTGTTCTCCCAAATTTAGAAGCCAACAATTTTGGTTGGGATTGGCTTTGTTTGTTGACCAAGTTAAAGGAATTGGACATCATCTTAATTAAGATATCCATCTTCTGCAGTCTTTTGTGTAGTTAGCTTGAAATGCTTGTGAATCGTAATAATTATTGCGCCAATTAAATGATTATTCTTAATTGATAAATATACGCGACATTTGTAGTATTATTTACTTAACTATTAAACAAATAAATTAATAAACAATGCCTAATATATTTAATCATCCCACAGCGAAGGGCTAACACTTGAGATTTATAGACTTCTTATAATGTATTAAGTTTATCCGTATACTTGTAATGAAATAAATTTTATAGTATACGTGCAAAATCATATTAATTTATTCTCTCCTCGAGCTTTCGAATTGATTAGGAGCGTATTTCGTACAACTTAAAATCCAATTAAAATCAATTTTGACCGTTATTTTACCATTCCATCTGTCGTTTTTGAATTTTTCTCTCACAGGTAGGACCCATTTTATCTCTAATGGTTAAAAAATCAATTAACAAAATTTCTACCAAACAAGCACTAGATTTTTAGCTAGTTTCATACAAACTTTCGTATTATATCGAACAAATAATTGTGTTTATGTTGATGTCCTATGTTGTACAGCGTATGCATATCGATGGCAAATTCATCTGAATTATTTAATCTTTCAAAACTAATTGTACTTTTAGCTTGTTTATGAAACGTAAATACTTAAAAACTTGACTTGCCAAAACGGTACCCAAAATTTAGCCCTCGTGGGAATTGAATTTTTTGTGAAAACGATTGTTCCGGATAAATGTAAGAAAATATTTTTTTTTAAAGAATATGTGGTTGAAAATAAATGCGAAAGAAAATAATTTTGAGAAAATCAATATTAAACTAGTATTTAACTATTTGTTTGGTCAAATGTAAGTATAAAAAAGTTATTTCTTAAACTTTAAATTGTACACTAATAATTGTATTTAAAGAGAAAATTGAAAAGTCCTTGTTTGAGCCCCTTTTTGATAAGATAATGTATTTTGGAATAATTACTTTTTTGAGAATGTGTGGTTAAAAGTTCACGATGCATTTGATTTGCTATTTTCAACCTATTTTTAGGTTTCAATTTTGTAACATATTGAAAACGCGTTTGATCTAATACTTCTAAAAATATACTTTTGAGATTAAACTTATAAAATAAAACTCAAAATGCGTTTTTGATATTTTGAGTATTTTCAGTTAAAATTCTAAAAACATTCAAAACATTGAAAATAAGCGTTCAAATAAAATTTGAAAAAATTAGAACATAAATTCAAACTAATAAATTTTAAAACTTATGAAAATATAAAATTTTAAAAAAATTAGGGAGAATTGGTCAAATAACTCAGTCAAGCAATGTGATTGATTAAATAACATTCCTCCAATGGTCGCTGGTCAAATGACTTTCAATTGTAAAATACAATAAACAAATAATGTTAAATATCCAAAATACTCTCGCCACTAAAAAAGACCCTAGCACCCCTATCAATTCAATTAAATCTCTCATTTCATCTCCAAAATTGCATTGCATGTGTCTTTTGATACCATAAAATCTTGTTATTTATTATATTTTTCACCTATTTGGGTATCTTTTGAGCATTTGAATAAGAAGTAATTTCTATGTTATTTATACTGAAATCTTTACTGTATTTCAAGAAAAAAGAAAGGTTCTTTAGAAATCTAATGTACATTGGTACTTTTAGAGTCCGTTTGATTGTAAGGATGAAATTTGAGTGAAAAGAAAATGAATTTCAAGGAATTGAATTGCCTAGAACTTGATTTACTAGGAATTGTCAATTAAATGTGTTTGATTGATATAATTTTTTACCTAAAAATGTTGAAATTTTGTATTTTTTGGTGTTCGTTTGATTCTATTTTTCATGAAAATTATAAACTAAAAGGATATAATTTATTATAATTGTGGATTGAATTTGTTTGCATTGCAAAAAAAATGAAAAAATAAAAGCTGAAACTCACTTTCCCACCAAAATCAAAGGAAAACAATTTCCTTGAAAACCAAGAAAAAGGGTCACGTCGAAGGGTAAGGTAGAAACCAAATTCCATGGAAAATGTTGTCCATCAAACAAGGCAAAATGGGTGGAAAGTGAAATTTGAATTCCATTTTCCATGGAATTTTCTTGTATCAAACAGGCCCTTATTGTTGAATGCAATATGAAATAATATTTTAGTTGGTTTTATTTTCGTATTGGTGTATTTTTGTGTTGTTTGCAATTATTGGATGATAACGACGGTCCAACCATTATCTGTAGTGAAGAGCGATACTACAGCCGTTATCTTCCATGTAAAACAATAATACAAATATTACCCATTTTGTTTTGTTTGTTATCGATAATACAATGTGATTATTTTAATAATTTAAATATAATAATTATTTTTCATATTACTTTTAATTTTTTATTTTAAAGTCTACACGGTACTATATACTCGAGTATACTATTTATTTATTTTTTATTTTAAAATCTACATTGCATTATTTATTCATATCGTGTTTACACAATTAACGGCACCTGTGCCGTTTTCATCATAGTTAGGCACTTGTGCCATTCTGTTGTTTTTATGTTGATTAAGTAATGAGCTTATCTCTCAAATTTTGTAATAGGCATGTCCATCTTGCAATTTAAATGAATTTAACTTATCGATTATCGAGGTTACGGATGAGTCGTGATTGTTTATACTCACGTTTGTAGTTAGAACGACACAAGTGTCGTTTCATTATCAGTAACGACAATTGTACCGTTCTGTTGACTTCTCCATAATTTTGCTTATTTTCTAACGCAATAACCTCAAACATTGGATCTCCTAACTTAAGAAATTCAAAAAATTTAATCACGTGATAAAGAACGATGAATTGGTATAGATTATAAGATATCGAGTTAGTGAAATCATAAGTCATTGTAATTATTCATTAGAAAATATAATTAATGAACACATCTTTCAACTTTTATAAACAGCATGTCCATCTTGCAACTGAAATGGGTTCAACTTACTGGTTTTCGGAGAATGGATATATAGTGACTGCTCATACTAGTGTTTACAGACAGAACGACACAAATGTCGTTAAATGGCCCTTGT